TCCGAGCCCCTCCTGGATGACCAAGCTTCTCACCCTATCTCTAAGGGAGAGCCCAGCCACTCTGCGGAGGAAACTAATTTCAGCCGCTTGTATCCGCAATCTCCTTCTTTCAGTCACTACCCAAAGCTCATGACCATAGATGATGGTAGGAACGTAGATCGACCGGTAAATCGAGAGCTTCGCCTTCTGACTCAGCTCTCTCTTCACCACGACAGACCGGTACAACACCCGCATCACTGCAGATGCAGCACCAATCCGCCTATCGATCTCACACTCCAGTTTTCCCTGACTTGTGAACAAGACCCCGAGATACTTAAACTCCTCCACTTGGGGCGGGACCTCATCCCTGACCCGGAGAAGGCATTCTACCCTTTTCCGAATCAAGACCATGGTCTCAGATTTAGAGGAGCTGATTCTCATCCCAGCTGCTTCACATTCGGCTGTGAACCGCTCCAGCGAAAGCTGAAGATCACGTTCTGATGAAGCCAACAGGACCACATCATCTGCAAAAAGCAGAGACCTGATCCTCAGGCCACCAAAACGGTTGCCCTCCACACCTTGGCTGCGCCTAGAAATCCTGTCCATAAAGGTTATGAACAGAATCGGTGACAAAGGGCAGCCTTGGCGGAGTCCAACTCTCACTGGGAACGAGCCCGACTTACTGCCGGCAATGGGGACCAAGCTCTGACTCCACTCCTCTAACCTCCCTCTGCACCAGCTAAATTCTACTTCCTGAAACAGGAACGCCAGAGCTTTTTTCCACATAGAGCAATTCACAACACATTAACTTGTTCTAGAGACCACAGAAAACATTGAAATAATGAGTGGATGAGAGTTTTAAGAATGAGCCATCCTCACGATGCAGCAGGAATTAAAACAGAACTCCTATCATCCTCCAAAATGACAGCGGGAAAGCGCACACTAGCTACCAGAGTTTACAACTGTTTAAGTCATTTGACAGCAAAAGGCTGTGCGCACACACACACACACTGGGTTCTTCTAGAGAACTGCCATGCCAACATGTCAACTGTCAACCACTATTCACTCACACATGCTGAGCTGTAAAACTGTGTCAGCAGGGCAAACAAGAGCAGTGGATACACAAGTGTGTGTGCGTGTGTGTGTGTGTGTGTGTGTGTGTGTGTGTGTGTGTGCGTGTGTGCGTGCGTGCGTGCGTGCGTGCGTGCGTGTGTTCTTCCCTGGATGGCTCTACACACTTTCTGCCTCCTGCTCTCATACTTCCAGGATCAGGTGTACATTTCTGCTCCACTTGTGGTCCTACTGTTTATCTTCTCAGCCCGTCATACACACTCAGGAAAATTAGTGGTAGTTATAAATAATTTCATCACTTATCAGTCACTTTTTGTAGCCTTTCATTCTTTGAAGTTGCAGTAGGAGATGGTTTTGGGAGCTTTTTTTGCCGTGTTGCTTGAAATGCTGTTCACATACAACAACAAATAAATAAAATGTTTCATCAGAAAATAAAAATTTGAACTCTGATTTTCAAACCACGAAATTAATCACTGTGATTTTTTTTTGTAACTCATCCATTTAGATCTAATTAAAGCTTGAAGTTATGAATATTTAGGGGTGTGTCCTTTTGATTGACAAAGAGCCGATTAGCGGCCTGTCCTCAGGGAAGGACTCAGCCTAGGCCTCACGTTAAAAGTCACAGGCTTGAAGGTAAACGGTAGCAGAGCCGTTCAACCGCGACTTTCTGGCTAAAAGCGTTGAACTGCTGTGATTTTGAAGTTAAAGGTGTTGAACACTCCTTTATTCAATACATTTGCAGTGGTCTCTAGTAGGAACAAATACCTTGTAAGTCATACTCAGCGGAAGAGAAACACCGGTACATCATTTTCAGGAACTGGAAGTGAGCCACATCACAGCTGAGCTTCAGACAGCAGGTTTTGTAGTCTTATTTTCTGATATTTGGACATCTTGCTCAGGCATCTAATATGATTGGATACCCGCAACACAACTCTACCACTGATTTGTAACGTTGATCTTTTATCTACACAAATAACATGTGAGGAGTTCTGCTGTGTGGTAGAGTAATGGTTACGGTTCGCTTCTACTAGCCAAGCTGTTCTCTGCTGTTTCCTGGATGCTAAAACAACAGAATTCTCTGTCGCGAGTCAAGATGGGTCAGTCCAAACCCCAGAGTGACAGATTATAATCAGAAAGAAGTAGTGATGCACCAATAGGAAATTTTTAGGCCGATACCGATATCCGATATTGAGATCACTGTTATGGCCGATAATCGATATTTGCCGATACTGATAAACTGACATTAATGCATCTAAAATAAGCTGATTTTGTATAGAATGAAAATTATTAAAGCTGAATTTACGTTATTATGTACACACAACACACACATTTACGCTTCTGAGATGATTACAGTTGCTGTCACATGACTAAACAAATACACATCACCCCCCTCACCCTCTGAAACAGGCAAACAAATGGAGAAGAGATGGAAAAAATATCGGTTGTTAATATCGGCCCGTTTTTATTTATTGAACCGATACCAATATGTTCAAAAATATTTAACATCGGCCGATACCAATATATTGTCCATCCCTAGAAATAAGATTTAAAATATGTTTTTTCTGTGTTCCACACCTTTATGAATGAAACAAGAAAGCTAAAAACTGCCTCGATTTCCACCATCAAACACCTCATGTTAGCAATTCAATTCAATTCAAAAATACTTTATTAATCCCAGAGGGAAATTGATTGCTGTAGTAGCTCAGAATAATAATAATAATAATAATCAAGTTGTCAAAGAGTTATTGTATATTACAATGGCTGTTGGCAGGAAGGATCTCCAGTAGCGGTCAGTGTTGCAGCGAAACTGAAGAAGCCTCTGACTGAAGACACTCTTCTGTTGTCGGACAGTCTTGTGAAGAGAATGCTCAGGGTTGTCCATCATTTTCTTGATTCTCTGGAGAATCCTTCTTTGCATTATCTCCTCCAGTGGTTCCACAGTCGTCCCCAGAACAGAACCAGCCTTTTTTATTAGGCTGTTGAGCCTTTTCAGGTCCCTGCTTCTGATGCTACTGCCCCAACAGACGATGGCTGAAGAGATTACACTCTCAACAACAGACTTGTAGAAGATCTGCAGCATCTTGCTACAGACATTAAAGGACCTAAGCGTCCTCAAGAAGTGCAGTCTTCTGACTTTGCTGTTCTTTCTCCAGTCCAGTCTGTTGTCCAGATGAACTCCAAGGTATTTGTATTCCTCAACCACCTCCACTTCTTCTCCCATGATGGAAACAGTGTTTGACTCCACCCTGTTTCTTCTGAAGTCTAAAATCATCTCCTTTGTTTTGTTCATGTTCAAGGTCAGATGATTGTTTCCACACTATGCCACAAAGTGCTCCACCAGCTCTCTGGTTAGGTTTAGGGTTAGGGTTAGGGTTACACTGCAGATTCATTGAGTATTTCTGTAGATGGCAGGTCTCTGATTTGTACTGGAAGTCTGAGGTGTACAGGGTGAAAAGGAATGGTGAGAGTACAGTCCCCTGTGGTGCTCCAATGTTACTGATCGCCTGGTTTGATGTGCAGTTCTTCAGCCTCACAAGCTGTGGTCTGTTTGTCAGGTAGTCTTTAATCCAGGCGATAGTTGAGGCCCCCACCTGTGTCTTCTGGAGTTTCTGGCAAAGTACATCAGGCTGGATTGTGTTAAATGCACTGAAGAAATCAAAGAACATGACCCTCACAGTGCTGCCTGCTTTGTCCAGATGACAGTGGGTTGGTTGAAGCAGCTGGATGATGGCATCTTCAACTCCAACTCCATGGCGATAAGCAAACTGAAGCAGGTCCTGATATGTTCTAGTTTGCTTATTCAGGTGGACCAACAGGAGTTTCTCCAGGACCTTCATGATGTGGGATGTCAGGGCAACCGGTCTGTAGTCGTCATTGACTGATGGGTGAGTTTTCTTTGGAACTGGAACAAGGCAGGATGTCTTTCACAGGACTGGAACCTTCTCCTGGGCCAGGCTGAGGTTGAAGAGGTGCTGCAGAGTTCCACAGAGCTGCTCTGCACAGGCCTTCAGTACTCTGGGGCTGACACCATCTGGACCTGCAGCCTTGTTCCTGTTCAGTCTCTCCAGCTGCCTCTTCACCTGACTTCTAGAGACAGAGTGAGGCAGCAGCATCTCCTGACTTGGTTGAAGACAGATTTATAGAACCAGAAGAGTTCATGACTGTGTTAGAGGACAAAAGAGCTGGCGTGTGACAGGAAAATGTTGGATCAGAGGAAGATGGGATGTCTGATTGGCTGGGGACAGGCGAGGAGGATGCTGGGTTTGTTCCTGAACTGAACCTATTGAAGAACTTGTTCAGTTCATTGGCTGTGTCCAGGCTGCCATCTGTGAAATCTTTCCTCTGCTTGAAGCCTGTGACCTTCTTCATCCCTGACCAGACATCTCTGATAATGTTCCTCTGTAGTTTGTTCTCCAGCTTCTTCCTGTATGCCTCCTTGCTGTCTCTGATCTTGATCTTTGGTTCCTTCTGTATACTCCTCAATAATTCCCTGTCTCCCTCCTTGAAGGCTCTTTTTTTCTCATTTAGCAGATTCTTCAGTTCACTGGTGATCCAGGGTTTGTTATTAGCGAAGCATCACACTGTTCTGGTGGGTATGATGTTGTCCACACAGAAGTTTATATAGTCAGTGACACATCCAGTCATGGCATTGATGTCCTCTTTATATCCTTGGCAGAGAGTCATCCAATCTGTGGTCTCAAAACAACCCTGCAGGGCTTCTTCAGCATCCTGTGACCATAATCTCACAGTTCTTCTTGTCACAGGTTGCCTCTGAACAAGTGGTTTGTGTTCTGAGCAGAGAAAAACAAGATTGTGATCTGATTGTCCCAGAGGAGGTCTTGTTTTGGACATGCATGCATTCTTTACATTTGCATAACACAAATCCAATGTCTGTGGTGCGGAGTGTGTCGAGTTTGGTGACAGGGGAATCTCGTCTCTGCTTTTTGCAGATGATGTGGTCCTCCTTGCTTCATCCAGTTCTGACCTTCAGCTCTTGCTGGGTAGGTTCGCGGCCGAGTGTGAAGCGGCAGGGATGAGGATCAGCACCTCCAAATCTGAGACCATGGTTCTCGACTGGGAAAGGGTGGCTCGCCAACTCCGGGTCGGGGGAGAAGTCCTAACTCAAGTGGAGGAGTTTAAGTATCTCGGGGTCTTGTTCATGAGTGAGGGTAGGAGGGATCGGGAGACCGACAGGCGGATTGGTTCAGCATCTGCAGTGATGCGGGCGCTGAGCCGATCTGTCGTGGTGAAGAGGGAGCTGAGCCAGAAAGCCAGGCTCTCAATTTACCAGTCGATCTACGTCCCAATCCTCACCTATGGTCATGAGCTTTGGGTAATGTCCGAAAGAACGAGATCGCGGATACAAGCGGCCAAAATTAGTTTCCTCCGTTGGGTGGCCGGGCTCAGCCTTAGAGATAGGGTGAGGAGCTTGGACATTCAGGAGGGACTCGGAGTAGAACCGCTGCTCCTCTGGATCGAAAGGAGCCAGTTGAGATGGTTTGGGAATCTGGTCAGGATGCCTCCTGGACGCCTCCCCGGGGAGGTGTTTTGGGCATGTCCTGCCGGCAGAAGGCCCCCGGGTCGACCCAGGACACGTTGGAGAGGTTACATCTCCAATCTGGTCCGGGAACGCCTTGGGGTCCTGCCGGAGGAGCTGGTGGAGAAGGTCGGGGAGAGGACAGTCTGGAGCTCCCTAGTTGGGATGTTGCCCCCGCGACCCGGACCCGGATAAGCGGAGGAAGACGGTGACGACGACATCTACATCCCTTGATTAAAATCAGTTTAAGCACAGTTTAAAATTATAAACCGAGTTTAGCTAAACTGAGATTAATTTTAAAGAGCAAGTAACGCTTAAATTAACTTCTTTTTTGCTGATAACCTGTATAGATGAGTGTCTAATGGTGCTGTACACATGTGTAATCATTAGTGTGACAGTTTAGTGCAACTTACTCTAAATTGCAGCCTTTCCAATGTTAATCACCTGCTCCCGATTGTAAACCAGATTGTTGCCATGGTTGTGCATCATAACAAATGCTCAAAAAGTGAAAAAAGTGAAAAAATAGCACTAAAAATCTTTTAAGCTTCACAGCACCAAAAACAGAAAAGTAAAATGTCCAAAAAAAATGTTTTTCTTGAGAAACTAGAAGAAAAAATGTCCAAATAAAAGCTAAACTTACATATAGTCAACAGAGCTACTCCAACATGCAGCCACCTAGAGCAGCGCAGTTCTGGAAATAGTGTACCAAAATGCTATTAAGTTAAGATTGTGTGTTATATTAGGAATTATGTTAAAAATGGTACAAACAACGGGTCAACACCGTAAAACTGAACCCCTGGGAACAATCATTGTATGTTCCTGTATTCAGGAGTTGTGGATTTGGGGGGAAAGCCTGAAGAAAGGAAGTTATTTTTAAAATTTTGTGTTTTCAAAACGTAGCTCACTTGAACTGCACCAACGAGGTTTAACTTTAAACTCAGATAAAATTTTAAGTTTAAATTCTCTTCAGGTTAAAAACTCTGCCCCACATTTATGTAGAACCAGCTGTGGCTGATGGCTAAACTGAAAAAAGTGACGTTATCAGTAAATTACTACGTGGCTGCACTGCACTGGTCTCCAGATGAGGCAGCCGCACCCCCACCTGGCTCAGCCACTCACCTGCTGATATAACTCACCGGCTCTCTGAGCCGCTCTCCTCCTTGAAAAAAAATGCCCTCCTCCCCTTTTTCATCAAATGATCGCGTTTAACAGGAAATCCGCCAGAATGCTGCAGAATCTGTGTCTGCTTTTCTCCTGAGCGGTAAGTCTTGTGTGGGTGCGTGCACGCGCTCGTTAACCACTCGTTGTAAGACAGAAACTTTGACAGCACACACGGGGGGATTGAGGGGGGTGCGGTTTATCAATGCCTCAGTGCCGCTCTCTCGGTCCACCAGGTGACGCCTCTTTCAGAAGCCTTTTTCTAACAGGAAGTGTGGATGAAATACGTCTCCACCCATGCATCGACTCTCACTGTAAGTGGTGCAACGCAGCCCTGCTTAACATTAAACCTAGTTTTACTGAACTCTGATTAGTGCTAATCTTAGTTTAAATGAAACCTTGTTGGTGCAATCCACCCTAAGACAAACATCTCATACTGCACCTTTAATCGATACCGTTACAGTATGGTACAGTTTACTTTTAACTAACAGACTCTGCTTTATTGTCTTATGATGGTAGCTTTTTGAACCAACTTTTTTTTTACACTCAACATTTTATTTCCTGTTCCTTCCATCTTCTGCTAATTGGTTTAACATGCAGTTACAGCGTTGTTGTTTTAAGATAAAATTGTATGAGCTCTCAGTGGTGTTGTAGCTTCTCATCTGGAAAACAGACAGATTCTTCTGGTGGACGATCACGTTTGTGGAGTTGACAGCTGTTGCAGGGATGCAGTTAAACCCTGATGAGTGTAGCGGGGTATGCTCATGCATTCTCTGCTGCTATGTTGGAATAAACACCGAGTCATTGGAAACATGAAAGAAAATGTGTAACATGTAAATCTTCAATGACTTCACTTGAACAGATTGATTGAACCATTAAAGTTTTGTATCCCATGTGTAAAACTTATTTAAACCCAGTGAAAAGCATATTTAGTCTTAATTTCTTTACGGAATGGCCGTGTAATTTAACTTTATTGCTAAAAGGGGATCTTTTGGGAAAATAATCAGCCCACAGGCATGTATCTGCCTAATCCCTTCAACGTGCTATTCTCTGTGGTTGGAACCATATTAAATAAGGCAAAACATGGCCGAATTGCAGATGAATTTTAAATCAGTGAAACACTTCTGCAGCAACGAGGGGGTTTTAAATAATTTAGACGTCTGTGGTGGGAAATGGGGATTCAGCACTCTCCCTGTTCCTTCTCTGACCTTTCAGTGAGAAGCAGCAAGCCGTGTTTTCTCAGACGTTTGTGCCGAGTGACACAGTGAGCAACGAGATCATTCCTTGTTTTCTGTTCTTCTCTGCAGAAGTCGGATCACGGCCAAGTTCTGCTGGACGTCGTCTTTAAGCACCTGGAGCTGACCGAGAGAGACTACTTTGGGCTGCACTTGGCTGATGACGCCTACGATTCACCAGTTAGTAGTCATGTTTTTCTGTGTGCGTGTGTGTGTGTGTGTGTGTGTGTGTGTTAGCATGAATTCAGCGTGTGTGTGAGAGATGTTTTTTTTAATTCATTTATTTCTCAATTTAATCAAATTGGCTGAGTTACAAACCAAGATGCAACAATTCCACTTTAGGAGGCCGATACCGATTTCCAAATATTGCACAGTTCTGACCCGATGCTATTAAATTTGGCCAATATGATATATCTTGCAGAATTATGAAAAAAGAACAGAATTTTGTTGTCCTTTTCACATTCGGTTAACAATTCAGTGAGTAAAAACGTCCAGAGCGATCCAGCTTGAATAAACGCATACAGGTGATGAGTTCGCTGACCAGGAAAAGTATCTGCTTTTTCCATTGCTGCTTAACAAAGATTCTTTCATGGACTGAAAAATATTTTTTGAACTAAATTAATAGTTTATCTCTATTTAAACCAATCATGCTGAATATTGGCTAGTTCCGATCGCCAGGTTAACACGTGCCTGTGTGCTCCTGATTAGCACACTGTAAAAACTAGAGCTGAAGTTGATTAATACATTTAATCATTAAGTTGGCCCCTTAACTTTGTACATATTTGTTTCCCTCTGATACTCTTTCTGACACATTTCTATGTTTATGACCACAGCTGAATAATTTAAACGTGTTTGTGCTTAATCGTGAGTGACTCCAATTGTGTCTCAATCGATGTTTTACAGCGCTGGCTGGATCCCAGCAAGCCCATCAGGAAACAGTTAAAAAGTAAGTGCCAACCCCAACAAGCCACCTTAACTTCACTCTCCTGACTTCTAACTAAATGGCTCAAGTTTATTCAACTGCAGCAGATTTATTGTTTCCCAGCTGGTTCTGGCTGCAGCCTCGTCTCCGTAACGGTTAACAATCCTCACTGTGCCTACAGCAAAAGCCTCCAATCAAAACTGTCATCTGCTATTCCGAATTAGCTTCAAGCAATGATTAAACTTTCTTTCAACTCTTCAATTAAGGAGTAGATCAAGTGAATCCAACAGTTTTCCTCTAGCAATGATTGAACTGAACTTCAACTCGGGTTTTCCTTGCTCAATGTGTGAAAACTGCAGGATTTCTTATTCTGTAGTCTGCAGGGCTGATATGTTTTATAAATCTCATCTCTTATTTTGTCTTTTATCACATTTTTTATAATGCACAATGCAAGCTTACGTCTAACAGCTTATAAATATTCTTCCAGGAGGGTCTCCACACAGCTTGAGCTTCAGAGTCAAATTTTTTGTGACCGACCCGAGTAAACTTCAGGAAGAATACACGCGGTAAGGGTTGACTTCAGCTGTCTCTACAACATTATCTTTGAAAAAAGGGATTCTTGCTTGTAATTTTTGTCAGTTAGAATATTTTAATTATATTCTTCTAAACAAGATAATCCAAAAAACAAGGTCCGTCCTCAACAGCATAGAGGTTGAAGAGTAGATGTTGCAATGACTTCTACTGCTAATGGCACTCACATTTGTTGGGTCTACTTTTTATAAAGTTAAAGGATGTTGGCTCCATGGAGATCTTGAGCTGTTGAACTGCGAGAGAGCGCCATTCATAAACTAGTTCACACACACCAGAATCTAAAACTGATCTTTGAATCTCCTATAAAGCATATAAAATTTGGTTGGAGCTATCAATGTCTGACGCGTTGTTGGGAATATACGGTGTAACCTAAAAAAAATTTTATTTTATTTTTTTATTTATTTATTATTTTTTTATTTTATTTTATTTATTTTATTTATTTTTCTATCTTATTTGCTTGCATTGTTTGTTATCTTAAATTATTATTCACTTACCTTGAATCTGTTAGGATTAACATTTTAATTATTATTATTATTATTATTATTATCTTTATTAGTAGTATTTTAATACTTGCCATATGTATATTACATTTTTGTGTTGGATACTGTTGATGGAAGGGGGTAAAGGGAAAAAAGGGGGAAGAAAAAAATCTAAATAAACATATGTTTAAAAAAATAAAAATTTGGTTGGAGCTTTAAATGTCCCAGGAGCCCTAAGAATTGGCCAACTAAATAATGCATAATAAGGCTCGTTATAGAAAGACCTGTCCCCCCCCCCCCCCCACACACACACACACACTTCACAAGTGTGTGTGTGTGTGTGTGTGTGTGTGCGCGCGCGCGCGCAAAATCAGATGTCGTAATTTATTGTGCCGACAGCAAATCTTTGTTAAATGCTTTTATTATTCAAACAGTTCACAGTAAACAAGCTAACTCAGTCACCATATAAATGTAGAATCTTCCCTTGTCCTAATGTTGCTTTGTTCCAACCAGGTACCAATATTTCCTTCAGATTAAACAAGATTTGATAACTGGAAGGTGAGTTTCCCTACCTTTATGAACTTGATGTATAAACTAAGACATGCACGCAGCCTCATTAAGCCAGGGCTCGCACACTTTTTGAGATATTATTAAGAGTTTTGTTTATTAGATGACTGGATTGTCTTAAATATTACCAGTAGGTGATTTTTCTTGGTGTTTAACATTCATCTCCTGTAATCCTCAGATTACCTTGTCCTCACAACACGGCTGCACTGCTGGCGTCCTATGCTGTTCAGTGTAAGTGCTGCTCTCTGGATAGGCTCGCTCCACATAACAATGGAAAGACGATTCATTAAGCTGCTGTTAAATGCAGTGAGTGTGGTTTCTGGGGTGCGTTTACAAATGCTGCTCTGGAAGCCATTGTGATTCAGTCCAAATGGTGTGGTGAGAGTATCAGTAATATAAATATATTGTGACGTTTTTTGTTGTTTATGTCAGACATCAGTCATTAATGTTTGAAGCAGATCAAGTGAGGTTTACTTGACTGCTCAGTGGACGTTTAGTATAACAAGACTTTTATGGTTTACAGCTTAGTTAATATGTTTAAGTATTTTAGACTTTGTCACCATCTCGTTTCATTCTCTAGGATCAAAATGCCCCTAAAACAGACTTTAACAGTTGAGATTTAATAATAAACAAGAAAAAATGTAAAGGGGTTGAAAACTCATTTAATCAATACATTTGCAGTTGTCTCTGGTAAGAATGAATGCCTTGCAAGCTGTACTTGAGACACAAAAAAGCCCAGAATTACCTGGATCAGCATGGACAAGTCTGCTGCAGCCGAGAGTGGCACAACACCGCAGGATCTGGAGTCTTATTTCCTGATGTTTAGACATCAAACCAAGCAGCAAAACAACTCTACCACTGACTCCGTTTGTTCTGCAACATGGATGTTTTACCCCAACAAATAACACAAGCCTGGAGGAGCTTCTGCTGTGTGGTTGAGTTGCTAATGATAACAGTTAGCATTTGCTTGCCAAGACATTCTCTGCGGTCCCCTGGATGCTAAAACAACAACTTTTCCTGTTGCGAGTTAAGTGTGAGTCCAAGCGACCACTTGATGTAGATCTGTTTGGCTTTTCTAATCCTAGAGTTTCACTGTCGTTTTTCTATCAGAAGCTACTGCAGCAGATAGGTGTAGGAGACTATTTTCATGTTCAGTCTGCAGGAAAAAAACTGAGTGATTATAATCAGAAATAATCATAAAAAAATGCCTTTTCAGTGTTTCAAACTTTTAACGCATATAATTTTCACTGGGCAGGACAATTTGTGTGTTATTAGCAAAATGCTACAAAAGTATACAACTGCTCCAGTTTATGTGGGAAGACATCTTCCAAACTATTTGGAGTCCTGTAAGAATTATTATTTGTGAAGGGAATGCAACCCGGACTGTTGCTGGTTCTCTTTCTCTGAGTTCAACCAAAGGTCAAATTCCCTGGGTCTCAGTTAGCATGTTCAACGTCAGCGTTCAGGGCAGTACAGCTTGGAGCAGACTGAAGAGTAATGGCTTGTTTACATGGGTTACAAAGAGAAAATCCCCCATCACAGGTCCATCTGAACACATTTTCTGGAACAGCCAGAGTTAAGTGTTAAGTTGTGATCGTAGTTTAATGTTTTATTTGAATAGGAAAGTGGTCATCAGCTCAAACTGCTGAAAATGGCTGTTAGCATGATGGTGGAGGATCATGGTTTGGGACTATGATATGAGATAAATATGAGTACATCTGACGGTAGGAGCTTGGATCAAACTACAACATAACAGCCCTCATTCCCACACTAATTAGCCATAGGGTGTATTGGACAAAGGAGGATGAATACGAGGCTGCCAGGGAGGAGGAGGAATAGATGGCTGCAGAAACAAGTTTATGGACTAGTGGAGAAGGACATGCAGAGGGTTGATGTGACAGAGAAGGATGCTATAGGCCAGGGGTTCCCAATTTCTTTTTTTTCTTTTTTTTGAGGACCCCTTTGCTCATGTCCAAGACAAGCCAGGACCCCAACCCCAACTCCTACATGCGTACACACTAGGGGTTGTATCAATTAGTCGACTAGTCATCTTCACGGCTCTGTAGTGACTTTTTATGCCTTTCATAGACTAGTCACTGTCACTTGATAATGACTGACAAGATGCAGTCCTCGGAAAAGACAGCAGGTGATGAGCCCCAGCGCGTTGGGATGCGACACGCTGTGCCAGAGCGTCGGTATCTGACGCCCGCCGTAAAACAGACATTTGACCGAATTGTGACCTTTACCCTCTTGCAATTTAACCTTCCCCTCACCCCCATCCTAACCTTAACCAGCTTGCGCATGCAAAGCTCTGATTGTTGACGCGCTCCAGACATCTGCGTCCTGAGCACGGCCACAGTAACATTATCAAATCAGGTGTCGCCACCTCAAAAACAAATTTAACACGCGATCGTTCATGTCGGCTCATTTCCTTTAATGTTTTCTGTCTTTTATTCTTTTATTTGTGCCTGATGCTTTTCGCTACTGTGGAGCGGGGCGCATCACCTGTTTTGTCCTTCGGTGACGCACCTCACCGGTGCGGCCGGCGCACAGCGCGCACTCCGCTGTTTTTGCGGTCGGTAGATCTTTTAGAACTGCAGTTTAAAGGTAACTCATGAGGTGAATATATATGAACCCAGGTAGCAGTTTTTCTTTAGGATTGAGAGGAGATGCAGGAAGATAATAAACAGACAGGACAGAAAAATAGTCAAATAAAAACAAGTTAGTTTTTGTACCTGGTGGTTGCAACAAACAGACACCATTGAAGGTAATCAGAAGTGAGGAACAGAAAATGAAATAATTATTTTAATGTTTAGAGCAGCAGGAACTCTGAGAGGCTGCAGGCGCTCAGTGAGTTTGCGGCCGCTGCACAGGGGGAGGGGGGAGAGGGCTGAAGCAGAAACTACGTTGTTAAAAGAAATGTGTTTAACTCAGAAAATGTGGGCGCAATTTTAATTGTCAAAAACTCCAGCGAACCAACCCCCCCACCCCCCGTGTATGACGTCATCAACGACTAGTCGAAGTCGACTTGATTTTCATTATTTGACGGTCGACTTTAAAAAAAATTAAGTCATGCAACCCCTACTGCACACATTAAATGTGATCATTTACCATCTTTATACAGACACGCAGAGTTATAAATTATATATGGAGTTCTGATTATACTGTTGGGTGTGTTATTTGGCGTTTATAAATGTGATTTTTACAAATAGATTCCTGCTAACCTCACAATCTCAGCAAAGTCAAAGTGTGGGGACCCTCTGTAATTTTGTGGGGACCCCCTTAGGGGTCCCAACCCCTAATTTGGGAACCCCTGCTATAGGGATTGGATTAAAGCGGGGTGGGCAATTATTTTCTCCATGGGGCCACATGAGAAACAGAAAATATTGTGGAGGGCCAGGCCAAAAGGCTGAAGTCAATTATGCATAATATTAATGGTATTTCTTTATAAAAAGCAGTAAATACCATTGTTTTTTCAAGCTGGTAAGAGTAGACTATATGTTATAAATGAGCAAAAAGGAAAAAGTGAGGTTGGCTTACAAAAATGGAATTTATTCAAATTTCCCAAGACAATGGTAAACAAAGTGTGCGCATTTGGTTTTTGTTAAACATTTGTGACTTATATTAGTTAGCAGTTTCAGTCACATTCACTCCAAAACACATTTTGAGTTTCAAATATTGTTGGAAAGAGGTTCTTAGCATTCTACAGACACACAGTATTGTCTGTAAAATAAAATCACTGAACTGTGATCTTGAGAAAGAGGTTTTAAAAAAAGTGTCCCAGTTCACTGCTAGTTGCCTACATTTGTGGTCCAAACACCTTATTTCGTGTTTTTAAGCGATTTTTTTCTTATTCAGTGAGAGAAATCTAGTCTCTGCTGGGCTTTAACGAGTGCATCAGACAGGTTGAATGTCTGAGGTGGAGATGCGAAGCACAGTTGACAAATGATCATCAGTGAGAGAGGATCTATACCTGGATTTTGTAAACTTCATCATTGAAAATGTTTGTTCACAAAGGTAGGTAGAGCCGAAGGGAACCAACATCTTCTGAGCATGTCTCCTCAGGTTTGGAAAGTTCTCCTACTTAAGAGAAGAGTAGAAATCCAGCAGAGATCCTGACTTAAAGTGCTCTGCCAGTACTGCATCAGACTGCAGGTCAATGAGTTCCAGCTGCACATCACTGGGTGCATTATCCACACTGCAGGTAAAGGGAGAGGAAATCATGTGCATTTCATCCTCCATTGTTCTGAGATCTTCAAAACGCCTTGAAAACTCACCATGGAATGCTCCTAACATGGATGAGTACCTGCTGAGGTGATCAGCTGATGGTGTGACTTTGTTCAGGGTTTGCATGTGAGTGAGAGTGTTGCTCTCCAGTTGACTTGAAAGAAACTGCAGCTTTCTCATGAAGGCCTTCACGAGGCTGTGCATTTCATGGACAAAAAGGCCCTTGCCTTGCAGTTTGGTGTTCAGTTCATTCATCAGTGCAGTCACATCAACAGCAAATGCAAAATTTGCCATCCAATCCTCATCTGAGAGCTCTGGAATGTCTTTGCCTTTCCTCTCGCAAAACTCTCGAATCCCTGCTTTCAAGTCCCAAACCTTCTTCAGCACTTTCCCCAGGCTGAGCCATCTGACAGCTGTGTGGAGTCCTCCAAAAGAGCGACAAACTGTCTGTGATTCATTGCCCGTGCCCTGATGAAGTTTATTATTTTGGTAACAACATCAGTAACATGGTTGATTTTTAGCACTGACTTGCACAACACATGTTGGTGTATAATTCAATGCAAAACCACCAATTTTTGATCTGCATCGATTTCTGTCACTTTATCTTGCATGCGTTTCAAAAGTCCGACATTTTTCCCTGTAAGATTTGTACAACCGTCTGTTGTGACACCTGACAGTCTCTCCCATTTCAATCCCAGAGTGTCCATGAACGCATTTACCTCTGTAAAAAGATCTCTCCCTGTCGTTGTCCCTTTCATCGACCGCATTGCTGCCAGCTCCTCTGTGAGCTTGAAGTCCGTTATCCCCCGGACAAATACGAGCAGCTGGGCCGTGTCGCGGACATCACAGCTCTCGTCTAAGGCCAATGAGAAAAAGTTAAAACTTGCCACTTCACGTTGCAGCTGAAGCTCCAGGTTCCCCGCAATGTCCTCGATCCTCCTGGTCACGGTTCGCCTGGACAGCGGGATTTGCTCAAATGCGCCTTTTTTTCAGGGCATATTAGTGCGGAAGAGTCCACCATGCACTCTTTGACAAACTCTCCCTCTGAAAACGGCTTGCTGTTTTTAGCTATTTTGTGGGATATCACAGAGCTGGTCCTGGTTGCTGCATCCCTGGATGTGTGAAGCTTAGTAAAACAGCCTTGCTGCATTTGCAACTTTGCTAGCAAAGCTTCGGATGTCCGTGCCCTCTCAGCATCAGACAAGTTCTTATATTTTTCCGAGTGTTTCTTGTCGTAATACCGACTCAAATTGTAGTCCTTAAACACGGCAATCTCCTCCCCGCAAACCAAACACACGGCTTTACCTCCGACTTCAGTAAAAAAAAAAAACTTAGCAGTCCAATTTTTGTTGAAAATCCTGCATTCGGCATCTATCTTTCTTTTTCTTTTTTTTTTTGCATGAGCGGACATTTCTGGGGGCTACAATCACCATGTCAACCGCGGGCACTTGTTGCTATACGTAATGCATCATTGTGCACGTAAAAAACAACTTCAAAATAAAAGCAATGCAGCCTTAGTCCATGCATGAGGTAAAATGAGAAACTACATTTATTTTGTAATTTCCAATTAACCTTACGCGGGCCGGTCAAAGTCAACCAAAGGGCTGTATGTGGCCCGCGGGCCGTAAAATGCCCAGGTTTGGATTAAAGTGTGGTATGATTTTCTGTGGTGACCCATAAACATAGTAGCTGCAAAGAAGAAATGTCATCCATCTATCCAGATCTGCTTGTCCGGGCTCAGGTTGCTGGGGCAGCAGCCTAAGCAGAGGCCCAGACTTCCCTCTCCCCAGCCACTTGGGCCAGCTACCCCAGGGGAATTCCAAGGCATTCCCTGGCCAGCCGTGAGACGTAGTCTCTCCAACGTGTATCCTGGGTGTTCCTTTGGGTCTCCTCCCTGTTGGACGTACCCGGAAAACCTCACCAGGGAGGTGTACAGGAGGCATCCTAACTAGATGCTTGGGCCACCTCAACTGGCTCCTCTCGATGTGGAGGAGCAGCGGGTCTTCTCCGAACCCCTCCAGGATGACCAAGCTTCTCACCCTATCTCTAAGGAAGAGCCCAAACACCATGCAGAGAAAACTCAATTCGGCTGCTTGTATCCACAATCTTGTTCTTTCGGTCACTACCTAAAGCCCGTGACCATAGGTGAGGGTTGGGACGTAGTAAGTAAGTAGTTAGTTGAGAGCTTTGCCTTCCTGCTCAGCTCTCTCTTCACCTTGACAGGCCAGTACAACGCAATTTTGTGCTCCATCTTTCCCTCACTCGTGAACAAGACCCTGGGGCACTTAAAACTCCTCCTGAAGCAGGACTTCGTCCCTGGCCTCGAGAAGGCTGATTCCAAAGAAATGTGACTTTTATAAAACCATAATTGGCCTGAATTTCAACACATCTGTCCAAGAGATGCCATCATAACAAGATACTAGATGTTCTTCATCTCACCTGTTGGGTGGTTAAATGTTGTAGTTGAACTGTGTGTCCCTGATGGTGTGTTCACATCAATAGGCGTCTGAGCTGCAATTGATTTGTTGGTCGATATGCTTAGGCTACCGGCTCGTGGATCAGTCAAGGGACTACTTGAGCAAATTGACGATTTTAAGCTTCAGCTGGAAGCGAGTGAGCTAATGGGATCCACGTTTAGACTCCCATTCCAGATGGTTCTGGAAGCTCACAGGAAACATTTTATTCTTTTTCTGTTCTTCATCTGCGATCACATTTATATTACCTTTGAATCACTGGAACTGTTCCTCTTGATGTGTTCAAAACGGGAAACGGGACTCTTGAGGTGTTGAAATTGTTGTTTTGTGCACACAAATTCTGTTGAGCCTCAGAGGAGGCAAGAAAAAATGTGAATATTTCATCAGTCAGTAAATGATGTAGTCCGTTACGTTGGCACAAACGGAACAGAGCTGAAGGATTATTTAAAAAAAGACAGGTCTTTACACAAAGTCTAATTCTATAAATTAACACTGACAATTAGTCCAGAATTAAAGCTGAATTGAAAGCAGATGGAATGTTGTAGTTGAACAATCGGGTCATAATGCTTTAATGAAACAAAATCGCTTTTATTTGCCGGCTAATGCTTTTTTATTTATTTTTTTTTTTTACGTGTTTCATTAAAATATTTATTCTCTTTCTCGTTTTCTGCAGCTGAGCTGGGAGACTACAATGAAACCGAGCATTCTTCTGGTTATTTGTCTGATTACTGCTTCATCCCCAACCCCCCCGAAGACTTCCACAAAGAGGTTTCCAAACATCACCAGCAGCACAGGTACGCTTAGACGTTCACATAGTGGAAACAGGAAGTAGCTGTGGCAATGGGTCATAAAAGCTGATCACCTGATATCCAGACAAACAAAAGTCACAAACTTTTTTTTCTCTGTGTCTCCAGTCAGACTGACCGCTTCTTGTATATCTTGTTTTTTTCTTTCTTCTATTTGCTGTCACGAACACGCCATCCTCCCCTCTCTCAGCGGTCTATCTCCTGCCCAGGCAGAGTTTAATTATCTGAACACAGCACGCACGCTGGAGCTCTACGGGGTAGAGCTGCACTATGCAAGGGTAAGTAAGGTAGAATCTCCTCCCTGAGTTTAGCAACATACATGACTTTTGCATCATGCATCCGTGATGCAGTTCAATTAGTCTAGAGTCCAGGCATATATTTTTGTTCTTTCTTGTTCTCCTGTAATTAGCACCTCGAGGTAGTTTAGCAACCCTCTAGGTGAATCTGTCCATGTGTTTTTCCTCTCATCAGCACATCATACATGCTGCTGTTTTCATTAAGCCAACCGCTGCCACTGCTGCTGGAAACGAGGACAAGTTGGAGGAGCTGCAGGGTTAGCAGTGAATGCTGATGCCCACACAAGCTGGAACCAGCTTGACCGGTGCATTTCCTTCTTCTGAGTAGATCTGAAATAAACAAATAAATAAAAGACAGAATAGAATTAAAAATTAGAGGTCAAGCATTGCTTCCTGTTTTTTGCAGCTGTTTCTAAAGATTGAAGTGAAAGCAGTGGTCAGCCATCAGCATTGATGTAATGATGGGATGGAAATGCAAACAGCTTAAAGCAGCAATCTAGAGACTTCCCCTGTTCAGAAATTATGAACGATTTTTGTTTTAAACTTGTAAAAGTGATAGTCTTATGGGCTCGACACACGGGAGGCAACAAACGACCGCGATCAGCGAAATTTGTCGCTGTCGCTTATACTACCTGACACACGGGAGGCGATCCGCGGCAGCAGCCAGCGGCAAATCCGTCTACACGTTCTGTTCCATGGCGAAATGGAAACTTCCATTGTTTTGCTTGGCTGTGTCAGGTTGGAGGGAATTAAGGTGATTTAAGCGGTTCAGAGTTAATAAAGCGGTAGATATCATGTTTCACAAGGTGCTGCTAGAGTTATGTGAAATCTTACTTCTGATTTGACTATAAAACATAATAATAATCAACTTCTCCTCCATGATTGCTCGGAGATGTACGGAGCATCCTGTCCGCTCATTGGTCAGTGAATGAAACCTCCGTTGATTGGTCCTCGTCCGAGCGACAGCGATGAAAAGTTGAAAATGTTTCAACTTTCTGGGATCGCGTCGCTGGGTCGCCTGTGCACGACACGTGCACGCGCGCAAAATTTCACACGCACGTTTTTCGCGTTTCGCTTGGTAGGAGGGAGACCCGCGATTATCGCTTTGTCGCGCATGTCTCATTGAAAATGAAGGAGGAGAGGCGATGTCGCATCCCGTGTGTTGAGCCCATTATCCTGCACTGTAATATAATGCAGGCCATACGTCCCATTGAGTGCCACTCAGTTTGAATTGATTGAAAAATAGAAATCTAACACACTGAATAGAAATGTAGCAGCAAAATCTTAAAGGGATTCTATGCATTATTTTTATATTTTGAAATCAATTCCTTGAGCCAGTATGTGGTAAAATGACCTTTTATGGGGTTAATGAAATATTGCTCAGACCCCTGCAACCCTCAGAGGCCAGAATACCGCTTTTGCAACTTAAGAGTGGCGGGCCGCCATCTGTGGACCTATAAAAACAAAAGTGAGCTTACATACCTGGCACTGCAGTCTGCTTCCAGCACATTTTCTGCATGTTTTAGATCGGCTGATTTGTTTGATTTAGTGATGAATCACTCTTGTAGACACTAATGAAGGCTGAGGAGACACTTCAGCAGCTAGATTAAGACGTTAAAAAGACAAACGCACAAGACAATAATTTTCACTTTTGGTTTGACCACAAATAATTAATAATGGACACCAGGGGGTGCTAAAAGCAAGCAAAATTGCCAAGTATCCCTCTAAAGATTAGATAATAAACCTAATAACAAGGTTTACATTCATGATATCTGTTTTTCCGTCCCTTTTTCCGTTCTCTTCAGGACCAGAGTAACACAGAGATTCTGATCGGGGTGATGTCCGCTGGCATTGTGATTTACAAGAACAGGGTACGGATCAACTACTTCCCATGGTGAGTGACTCAACCTCTGATCACACAAATGTGCATCTCTCTGTGATTTATATGATGCTATTTTCAAATTCCCTAAAAGTGGAAGTTTGGAAGGTTTTTGACTGGTCAGTTTCTGGATGTAGCAGAGAAGATCATGATGACTGGTGATGCTCCAGCTGGAATTGATTCCAGGCCGAAATCCCGGCTGTTGAAACCACTTTTCTGTTTTGCCAACAGAAATCCTGTCAGTGATCAGGCGAAGATGAGAGGCTGAGAGGATTTCAGGGAAAAAGAGCATTCTTTGTTATTCTCACACTTTTATCATTTCTCCTGGATTTCCTTGTTACTAAATGCTCATCAGTCTGCTGCCACTTCCATTTTAACTTCCTCCAGGAACTCTTATTTTGCAGGAACTCCTATTTCATGATTTTTTTTTTTTAAACGTCACATTGGAGTTGTTGACATTGCTTGCTAAGCCTCGGCTGATCTACAGAATGAAGCAGATGATTTTTCCCGTGGGTGGATATTGTGCTAAACTAGATTTCCTGGAAACATTAAAGGCATCAAATCTGCGCATGCTCTTTGACCTCCTTTCTCACCACTCTGACTCGCATCCATCTTTGTGTCACATTCTCTCTCCAAAGAATCAATTATTGAAAATCTCCTGTGCACTGACGCTGCAGCTAACCGTTTTCAGGTGCAGAGGGTGGGAGAGAAACAGCCAGCAAGCAAGCACTCATGATTTCATATTTTGAGGACAACATTTAAATGCAGCGACTTTAAGTCCATGCGCCATCCTCTCGAGTTAATCGTGTCAGAGGAGTTAAATTTAGAGACCAACAGCGGTGTCCCCCAGCAGCTGTTCAGCTCTAGGAGTGTAACAGGAGCATTGAAACATAATCTGAGTCTGTGTCGTCCAACGCCACGCTCACTGACTCTCCTGTCCACAGTTCATTGTCTTTCTTTATCTTCTAATTAACAAAAGCTCATGTTGTCCCTTCTTCTTGTCATTTTCCCTTCAGGATCGGCTGAACTGTTCCAGAAAGACATTTAGATGTTTGCCTCTCTTCCTATTTCTGTTCACAGCAGCCTGACAATTGAGCCACACTTATGTGGGGCATGACTCTCTCTCTCTCTCTCTCTCTCTCTCTTTTTCTCTCTCTCGCTCTCTCTCACACACTCTGTGTGTGTGTGTGTGTGTGCGTGCGTGCGTGTGTGTGTGTGTGTGTGTGTGTGTGTGTGAAATATATTTAGCAGGGAGCGATGAGTCACAGCAGCAACAACTTTAGGAAGGGATTATGTTACTCTGCTGCTGCTCATCAGCAAATGTCTTACTGCTGAAGTGTGTGTGTGTCTGTGTGTGGTCTGCTTATAGCATAATTTATACACTCACCTTCTGTATGTGACCAGATGAGAGTATATGGGTGTCATAATGCTGCTGTCACACTCTCTTAACCTCACAGCTGCGGAGGAAGTAAGGAGTTTAAACTAACTGGGTCAGCTGACCCGCTGCTCTGCTCTGCTTTAAAACTGAAACGTAAAATCACAACTAGTTATTTATAAAAACCAAAGAAATGTATTTTAAACAGATAGATTAGTTCCCACAAGCTGGCAGAGTCACAATGAATTTGTCTCAGAATACAACAGGATTGCTGCTGGACGCTTCTTTTGCAACCAATTAAAATTGGTCTCTGTAACTTTTACGTTCATCTTTTAAATTATAAACACACACTTATCAGTTTTCTCAAAGTCATGGTTTCCAGGTTGATGAGCACATTTGATGTTTTTAACTAGAAAGGTTTCTGTTCATTTGCATTTAAAGGGGCAGGGCTTAATACGTACTTCTGCAGCCAGCCACCAGGGGCGCTTGTTGAGTTACAAATTAGACCTTTTGCACATTTTATCTAGAAGTCATTACATGAAATGATGATGAGAGCTGACTTAGACTTGTTGTTTCTTTTACACTTTTAGGTTGAAAATAGTGAAAATCTCCTTCAAGTGCAAACAGTTTTTCATCCAGCTGAGAAGAGAAGCGGTAGGTTTCACACACACACACACACACACACACACACACACACACACACACACACACACACACACACACACACACACTAAATACATGCCTTTCTAGACCACCACCTCCCACCCACAACCTATTTACTGAACAGATGTTAAATCCTGCATGTGTTTGTTTTTGCAAACATACATTTATTCACGTAGAAACTTCGCTACACATCAGCATGCCATCTGTGTCATGTCTGCATATGTTTGTTTAATCTCTGCCAGATTAGCCCCCTGCTGCCTTTGTTGTGGTTGTCTCTGATTTAATCCCCCACTTCCATCCTGTGTTTTGCATGAATCTCTGTTTACTGTCAACCTGTTGAGAATATTCACCCATGTATGTCTCTTAAACCAGTTGCGCGTTCATGGCACAACTCATTTTAGCTAAACCATGTGATTCTATCATAATTCACTTATTTTTTGTTATATTTTTAATACTTTTAGAGTTTCAATCACCCTAAATATCTTAATATTTCTCTAATAATAAACACATTTTGTCTAATAATGTAAGGTTTTAGTTGTTGCTACTGCTTGTAGACCTGTTGCCACCCAGGTTTTGTGCTTCTATTCCATTAATGAGGATTATAGGTTAGCACAGAGATTAGTAATGTTTGTTTTTATATTTTCATCCTGTTTTTGTTCAAAGTCTACTGTTGCGCTAGTGTTACCTTAAACCCAGTTCAGATAAACAAAACCACCAAATGTTATGTACAAATAGAATCAGAATAGCTCACTTGCAAAAGATTAATATTTAAAAGCTTTTGTCTTTTAAAAAATAGTTTTTTTTTAAGTTTATCTAAAAATAGAATTGTTGTTTGAGCACACAGGTGCTTAAAACCCTTGAAAAAGATAAATTGAGATACTGTGTATGTGTGCAAAGCATCACCAGTGTAAGTAAGGTGCTGGGAAATCCTGAAAACTCCTATTGGGGGAGTTTGAAAGGTGCTTGATTTTGAATGTGGCAAAGATGTACGATTCCCTTTTGTTAAGCTGTCATAAATTATTTTGTTTTTGGTAAAAAGATGAGAAAATGGTCAAATTTAATGCATCGATTGTGTATAATTGGTGACATTTAAAAAAGAAAAGTGTTGATTTATAATCTGACAAAGTGTTTTTTGTGTTTTCCAGGCGGATACCCGCGAGACGCTGCTGGGTTTCAACATGGTCAACTACCGGGCCTGTAAGAACCTGTGGAAGGCCTGCGTGGAGCACCACACCTTCTTCAGGCTGGAGAGACCCATCCCCCCTCAGAAAAACTTCTTTGCTCACTACTTCAGCCTAGGCTCAAAGTTCAGATACTGGTGAGAAAAACACGATCCAAACCCCCTAAAATTCTTTAACTCCTCAAACGAAATCATCTCAAGATACTTTCATGTTCTCACAGGCTGAAAACATAAAAATAATATCTTCTTACTGGAATTAAACCATTTCTTCTTGTCGACTTAGTTTCACTTCACTGGTGATGTTTTTTTCAATTCCTTATTCTATGAAATGTGAGATGAAGTGAGTCTTGTGATGCATTATTGAGCAGCAGTGATACAACGTCAGAGTGTCTCGTCTGATGTTTGACTTTGACGTTGTGTGTGTGTGTGGGTGGGGGGGGCGGGGAGTGTTTTTGCCCTTGAGGATCATATTTTTTACGCTGACATTCTTTTGAGTTTTTGCAGATTAAAATGTTTAAAATATGAATGTGTTTTTGATGATCTGATGTCACTTGAGTGTTTTGTAACATTCCATCTGACGATAAAAGCCCTTCATGCCAGAAGTGTAAAACTAAATTTATCTTGTATGTTGTGAAATGGTAGATGTGTTGCTGTTTTGCTCAAATGGTAAAAATAACACACACACACTCTATCAGAAGATCTTACACAATGCAGCTACTATTACTCCAAGTTTTACCTGAATATATGTGAAACGAACTGAGTTATAGCCATTTTGGGGCTGACTAAGAGGAGTTGTTTGTGGGGGTATGACCAGTTAATAACTGCTGTTTTTCCTGATTCCTTTGTAGTGGGCGGACAGAAGTGCAGTCTGTCCAGTATGGAAAGGAGAAAGGGATCAAGGACAGAGTTTTTGCCAGGTATTGAACATTTTCTGTCTTTTTTGGGGGGGGTTAGTTAAACAGCCTCATCCCAACCCTACTATACAGATCAGCTTGACGTCACCTTTTTCTGGCTTTCTTTGTGAAATAACCTGGCACCTCCTACCCTGGCATCCCACTGGAAGCATAAGCGATGTTTAATGTCTGCGAAGTGCAATACGCCGCTGTTATTGTCAATTGGTTTGTTTCCACTGGACACATATTGGTGGACATGTCCCAGAAGCACAGGGAGCCTAAGTCACGCCCACCTACTTCTGCACCACGGGTCCCCCGAAGAAGGAAAAAATGAATGCACGTCAAAGGGGCTAGAACGCTATTTTCTAATTCCACTAGTTTTGTGCCATGGATTTCACGTATGATGTCCGTGAGTTTTAAAGACACATTTTGATACCAAGAACACGCTTATTTTCGAACAGGGGGAAATACTATTTTAAGTTTTGTGTGAAAATAAATCCAGGGCTATAAATGCGCTTCACGAAAGTGACGTCATCGAACCAGACACGGAGAAGACTGGGGGAAAATGGCTGTAAGTTCAGGAAACTTCCCACAGGAGGAAAGAACCACCATAAATTTGGTCATTTGGTAAGTAGCGGCTACGTTAAGGGAGAGGAGATTATGTGGTGACGTCACATATGTGTAGTCATGCTAATTACGAACTTTTACAAGCTGATACATCTCAAACTACGTGACTGGCGTGGTCAGAACACCCATCATTACTTTTCATTTAAATTGCAATACAACATATGTGTGATCCAGGACGTAAGGCAAAGTGGATTAGAAAAAAGCGTTTTTAACCCCGTTGACTTGCATTCATCTTTTCGTTTGTCCTGCCAACCTGTACGCATTTTGCGTAGCCAGTATGCAATTTGGCATCTGTTTACGCTACGACTCACCCCTCTACACTACGCAGAAAGCTGCGGATACGTGAGTTCAATTCTGTGGCAAATATGCACGTGTGGTACTCGTGTCTGGCAACACAACTCAGCGGCGTGGTGAAGACGTTTAAGCCAATCATCGTAAAAAAACAGAGAAAAACTGTCCTGCCTGGCCTAAAGCGTAACACCCCCGCCTCCCTGCGTCGTCCTGCCCGCTGCTCCTCCCTCCCTCCGGTTCGCCACTCGGTGCTGTTCTGGTAAGGTAAACTGTGTGTGTGTGTGTGTGTGTGTGTGTGTGTGTGTGTGTGTGTGTGTGTGTGTGTGTGTGTGTGTGTGTGTGTGTGTGTGTGCCTTTATCCATTGCTGATAGTTTTGGCCTGTATATAAGGAGGAATGTGATTATTTATACAGTTTAAACATGCAGCCATTATTTTTTCACAGCTGGTTTTGCACCTCATGCTATGGCAGATGAGGGAGAAGCAGACAGAGAGGGATTGGTTAGCAGACCTGCCAAAAAGAAGAGAGTCCATGTGTCTCAGAAGTTGTTGTCCAAATATCAAGAACAGTGGCTTGTGACCCTCTAAACAACCCCACCATGCATTTTGCAAAATCTGCAATTATGATCCAGTGAGCTGCAAGTAATTAGTAAATTACAGAAACAGAAACACCTATTGCCATTTACATAATAAATAATGACCATTAAATACATATAAATGTCTTTTAATTAATTTGTATTGAAATAATTTAATGCAAGTAACTTGTATAAGCACAAATATTATATAAGGAAACTTTAGAGTTTTACTGTTTAATATTAAAATACATGACACTTTGGAGTCAGGTCAAACTGTAAAAATGTCTATAACCTTACTAGTCAAAATAAGAACTATGAATGTGTGTGTGTGCCTGCGTGCGTGCGTGCGTGCGTGTGTGTGTGTGTGTGTGTGTGTGTGTGTGTGTGTGTGTGTGTAAAATTTTCCATCCAGTGAATGGGGAGATTAAAGCGTGAAAATTAATGGAGTTGCAAAAGTCCGTGAAAAAACGCGACACAAGTGGTACTCAAAAAAATGTTGACAGGGTAGGCAGGTCTGTAAATGTATGACTTGGGTCTATCTTTCTTCGCGCTACTTTTCTAGAACACCAAGCTCAGCAGTTCATGTTGAGCAAGATAGAAAGTCAAGCACAGGAGCAGTGTAACACATCCACAAATTTCAAAATAAAAGGCAAGTGCAGACATATTACTTATAAGAAAGTGACTTGACATACTTAATATCACGTCAACTGGGGAAATCACGTGTGATTTTGTGATCTCGTGAGACCAGCCGGGAAGGAATGCCTTCACAGCTGCTGCACGCTGGAAACGCTCCCAGCAGGAAGGAGCGTGCCGCTGAGGTTGTGATAAAAACGCACCTACGACGTTACACATTCAGTGGAAAGCTTGGGTTAGTCTAACTATAGGGTTGGTTGTGAATAACTACATTTTTATGTTAGGATCAGACGTTTGATTCTCCTTCAATATGGTCTCTGACTTCTAGAGAAACATTTCTGCATTTATTCAGTCCACCCACCTAATTTTGATGAAATCTCCTCTTCTGCCGTATCTTATACTTTAGAGCACGGACTCCACTGACCTGTTAAGGCCTGCTGTGGTGTCTGACACCAGACTATCCCAAACAAATCCTCTCAGTTCACCTGTCAGATTCATTTGTCTTCAATAAAGACCTGCAGCTCACAATCAAACGTTAGTGTCATTAGCTATTTCCTTTCATTAGTATCACACTAATATTCCTCTTTTCCTTTAGTAAGACAAACGTTATGGTTTTAGAGGTGTTCTTATACCTGCTGACAGTTTCTACTGAATTTTCTCAGCTTTACTGACTCAGCTTATGATTTTAGAGGCTTGTGGACTGTACACTTATGAGCCAATGAGCCTCTCATCTTAAATATGATTTTACAGGCATTGACTTTAACATACTTGGTCTGTATGTCCCTGAGACTCTCACAATAGGATTATCTGATAGGATTTAAAATGTTAGATTTGTGTGTTGTTAAAAATCACTTTGAACACTCTTAACTCATTTGCTGCCAGCGTTTCTCACCGTTTTTACTGTTTTTGTAAGAGTCACAGAACGTTGCGAGCTAGCATTATGTCGATGCCAAAACAACCAAAACAAAGCGGAGACTCACCTCTTACGTCAGGAAGAATCCGTGTGTTTCGAGCGTTATCGGTTCTTTCATAATCCGTTGTTGAATTGTGATCGGCAGACACTTTTCCGGTTCGCGCCTCACTTTTTTTACAGGAACGGCCCAAAACGATCTCCTAATACATGGATGGTCTGTTTCCTGATCATGTGACGTGTGCGGATGAAGATCGGCTTCAGGGCTGAGATGTTTGTTCTCTCAGCACGGGGGCTCGTTCTGATGCTCAAACAGTAAAATAAATGCAAATGACGACTTTAGTCGTCAGTGGCATTGAATGAGTTAAAGTAAGTCTAAATTGCTTTGTCCACATCTTGATGCATCAAAAATGTGCTTTAATGTCCCAGTCTCTACAAATGAGACTTTCAGTTTCACCTCACCCGTCACAATCAGAAACTGTGTAAAAGGCTTTGATAAAGAGTAAAAGGTGGTTTGTGAATGTAGAACAGTTGATCAGGCATCACTCTGGTTGGCATGAAAATACTAAAATCCACCGACTGATGGAAGAACCCGAAAACGTCTCTGAAACGGTTCCCGGCTCTTTCACAGATGAACACCTGTTACTCGTACTTTAAATAACGTCCAGCGTTTCGGTCTTCAGTCCTGTGCAAAGGAAGACTTGCTCCTTTTTCTTTCACCTGCCTTTCAAACAAAGCCGTTTACCACAGTGCTGTGTTCACGAACAGATGGAAATCCTGCCTACATGGAGGGCAGATCATGGAAAACGGGGACAAATGCTTGCTACCGGCAGTGAATCAAGTCATAAAGAGCGGTACAACCAAACGATTGAAGCTTTGATTTGGACATTATTAATGTTTTTATTGGAGCAGGTCTCCTAGCAAGCCATTGGCTCGGAAGTTGGTGGGCGGGACCGACTGGGAGTCTGTAAGCAGGAACAGCCTATCGGATGAGAGACTGGAGACCCAAAGCCTGCCCACGCGCTCGCCACCTGGAACACCCAATCAGTGAGTTTTTACACATTTTGTTGTTTAATGTCCTTATTAATTCCCTGGTTTATATATTTATTTTTCTGCAATGAAATTCCTCAATACTACAAATTTTAACTTTTGTTTGCTTCAGGAACTCGCTGTTTATACAAGAAGGCACTCGAATACGCCCGTCATCAGTTGGCCACCTGGTTGATCATGTGATCCACGTTTCTCCCAGCCTACCGGTCTTCTCCACCAATCATAAATCAGCATCGTCCACGCAGGCCAACAGCATCAGCCTGGACTCTACACCGTGAGTTTCACTTCTACAGTATACTTTGTTTTTTATTTTCTGTATCTTCAAAAGTTCCCAAAAACTCATTTCCTTCCTGTAAACATCAGCTTTTCACTCTGAAAGCCAGTTAGAACAGCTTCATAAATAAAACCTTGTTCCCCCCAGAACACCACCCTTTAATTTAGCTGCTACACTTTTCTCATCAGCGTTCGTCTGTCTCTTCTTCTGCGGTGATGCTTTTATTTTTACTCCTTTAAATGTCTTTTGGTGTCTGTGGTTTCTCTCGACAGTTCACACCCTCTCCCAGTGTCACTTAACTTGGCCCGCTGGAAAGATGAGCCCTTTGGAAGATAAAAAAAAAAGCTAATAAAATGTGTTCATAGAGGCGTTGCAGGGTTGTGAGGGTATACATCAGAGCTGAATTTGGACTCCGCTTGGTGCAAATCCTTAAACTGATCACACACTATAAAACATCCCATGCAGTTCTTTAAAATACCACATTGCTGCTGCAAAGTCTGAAGTTTGAGGGGGAAATAGAAGAGCTGCAGCATTTCTCAGATTAACTGAGTGCAATCAAAGGCACAACATCTAAAAGAAAAACAATTTAGATTCAAAACCATCATTTTTTCCTCTTTAAAAACAGATTTCTATCATTAAAACCATCAGATTCTGTGCCTGAGCAGTAAGGATATGAAGATGCTTGCATATTCCTCACACACGTGTAGAAAAGGCGGAGAAGCTGAGCTCCATCCTAGCTTGACCTGGTTCTGACCCATGGTAAATGTTAGTGTGTGTCTATTTAAGACACAAAGTGGCACCAGTTGCAGCAGCCAAAACAAATGCAATGCTTTCTGACTGATGCCCCCTCCCTGAAGGAAGTATGCTTCTTAGCCTCACACACACACACACACACACACACACACACACACACACACACACACAGAGAGAAACAACTGGCTTTTACCCACATAGGAGCGAGCCATGATGCTGCTGAAAGCCATAACTGACTGACCGTGTTGTTTCCTCATGCGCACTGACTGCCCTTTACTGTCTGGATGATAGACGGAGTGTTGTCCTTCTTTTTTTTATTAATTTGAGGTTAATGCCGCGTGGCAAATTGCAGCAACACAATCTGTTTTGTATGAAATGTGTTAGCATTACTGATATCCTCACATGTTCTTCATTGCTACCATTAATTCTGAAACTCAGAATGCTGAGAGGTTTTGCTAATATTTTATATTAAAAGGCACGTTTTTCCTCATCCCTTTTGTTTCAGACTGAGTGTGTGACATTTCTTTTTTTTTTCCTCCTCCCCTCAGGTCTCCAGATGGGGTAGATGGCCAACCTCCAGCTCTGCCCCCGAAGCAGCTGAGCAGGAAGACCCTGAGCCAGATCATCCAGGCCCACTCCCAGCAGAGCCTGCTGGACAACCACCTCAACGAGATGTACGACGTTCCCGTCAACGCTGATAAAACCACGGTCGGTGTGCTAAAATGTGGCTGACTACTTAAATGTTTTATTCATTTTTAAAAGCATTGAGCTTATTTAAAATAAAACATAATGAATTTAAAAATGTTTGCCTTTAGCGACCATTGGCAAATGATTCAAGCTCTTGAATGCATTCAAATAGCTGCTTCCTGATAATTTCACAGTATTTTTTATTATTAGAGCTCAGTTTATTTTTGAATTCTGTTCTCATAGCTCAACGGGGTGGTGCCACATGATAATCTGGTGCTGATCAAGATGAGACCCGACGAACATGGACGCTTTGGTTTCAACGTCAAGGTGAGAGCAGAATCGTCATATTTCCTTTTTTTATGAACCAGCTCACTCTGCTGACGCATTCGTTCATCTCCAGGGTGGAGCTGACCAGAAGATGCCCATCGTTGTGTCTAGAGTGGCTCCAGGAACCTCGGTAAGTTAACCCAACAATGTTATTTGAAACTGTGTTTGTTCTTTTTCACCATTTCAAATCGACTTTAGTTCATCCTCGATATATTTTTTGAATTCCTTTAATTTCGTCAGGCTGACCTCTGCGTGCCTCGCCTTAACGAAGGGGACCAAGTGGTCCTAATCAATGGGCGGGACATCTCTGACCACACCCACGACCAGGTGGTCATGTTCATCAAGGCCAGCTGCGAGAGCCACTCGGGAGAGCTCATCTTATTGGTCAGACCAAACAGTGAGTTCTTCCAGGTGGAACCAGGAAGATGTTTTTATGTCATCTAAGCACTTCGCTTTGACCCTGTCAAAAATGTACTCATGTTGAGAAAAGATGTGAAAGGTGGTGTTTTTGTTGTTAAGAAATATTTGACAAAATACCTCTTCAGCTTTTATTGATGTGTTTTTGTGTTGTTTTTATTATTTATCTATGCAAATATGTAGATTAGATATTACAGAAAATTTAAGAAAATTTCAAAAACCTAGATTTTGTCACTTATATGCATGTGTATGCATGTTGATAGATAAAATATGCAATTTTAATGTTGATATTTCACCCCTATGAAGGATTTTGCATTTAATTTCTATGTAGCATTTACAAAAACTACTCAAGCAACAGAAAACATTGTTTGCATTCTTCAAAAGGATGTTTATGTTATCATCTGAGGTATTTTTAGTGGTTGTTAGCTTTTGTCATGCAGCTGATCTTGTCTCAACTTTCTATTAAACGACGCAAAGTCTTTACTCAATATCAGCTTATTTATGAAGGTGACAAATTAAAGGATACCCAGCAGTTATGGCTTGCTTTTAGCACCCCCTAGTGTCCAATTAGTGAAACCAAAAGTGAAACTTATCTCCTCGCTGTGCCATTTTAACACCTTAATCCAACAGCTAAAATGTCTCATCAGCCTTCATTAGTGCCTACAGGAGTGATTCATCACTAAATCAAACACATCAGCTGTGTTCATGATCTAAAACATGCAGGAAACGTGCTGGAAGCAGACTCCACTTTACTGAGTCCAACAGGAAGCAGACCGGCACTCTAAAGTTGCAAGTGCGATATTCTGGACACGGAGGGTGGTGGGTGGACATTTCATTAACCCTGTAAAGGGTCGTTTTAGCACATACTAAATGGCAAATGGCCTGTATTTGATATAGCACCTTCTAGAGTCCGGGAACCCCCAAAGGCGCTTTACAACACAGTCAGTCATTCACCCGTTCACACCCTGGTGGTGATGAGCTACACTGTAGCCACAGTTGCCCTGAGGCACACTGACAGAGGCGAGTCTGCGGTACACTGGCACCACCGGTCCCTCTGAGTACCACCAGCAGGCAAGATGGGTTAAGTGTTGCCCAAGAACACAATAACAGCGACAGACTGAGCGGGGCTCTGACCTGCAGCCCTAACTCCTATGCCACCGTCGCCCCCTGGCTCAAAAAATGATTTAAAAATATAAAAAGTTAGAGTATTTCTTTAAAGATGAAGCATTTTAAAATAGGCACAGATATTAAATTCATGTCATTCCAACATGTTTTGGAGCACATAGACAGCTTTGTTTCTCTCATCCCATTTAGCCATTTATGATGTGGTGGAGGAGAAGGTGGACTCTGAGCCTGAATTCCAGTATATCCCCGAGAAGTGCCCCCAGGATCCAGCCCAGCTCGACCAGCACGCTTTGAGGGACTCCATGATCACCTTGAAGGAAGGACTGAGCAGCGGAGCCATTCTGGCTCAGTTTGATGTAAGGAGGACAAATATACACAACATTTTTGTGTTTGAGTTTGGCATCAGCTGATCCTCTGTGACACTCGTGTTTCTTCTGCAGCAACTGTACAGGAAGAGGCCGGGGATGACGATGCTGTGTGCCAAATTACCTCAAAACATTTCCAAAAATCGCTACAGAGACATCTCTCCTTGTGCGTGAGCTCACACAACCACCTGTTTTGGTTCTGCTTATCTCCCGCCTGCTTGTTTCCTTCTTTTCTTAGTCTCAGCTGCTTTTTTGTCAGCTCACTTTTCTTTACCTTCTCTGACAGATGATGCCACGCGGGTCACGTTGAAAAGCACAGACGACTACATTAACGCAAATTACATCAATGTAAGTTTGTTCTTTCTGTCCTTTTTTATGTTCTGCAGGTAGCAAATAAAACAAAACATATTTTTTTACTGGTCTTGCATAAAGGCCATTGAGAAACCGTTTTTTACTTGTGATTTTTGAAATATGATCGATCATTTTGAGTTTAACACGCAGGCTAAACATGGCACTAGTCTTCCACCCCTATTTCTTGCATTAGCTTCTGATAAAAAAAAATCTGGAAACGCTCTGATTAGAGAAGCCTGTCAAATCCACGTTACACTGATAATTAGCATTCATGGACTCACCCGTCATGACTCACGACGAGGAAGGCTGGTGTTGGTTTAGTATCCAGGAGAGAGCAGGGAACCTCTCGGCTAGTAGAAGCTAACTGTTAGCATTAGCATCTTAAGCCGGGCGTACACTGTGCGACTTTTTCACTTTTTTGAGCCGACTTTCAACTCGTGCGAGAATCCACGAGATTGGGGCGAGTTTTGCGCCGAGCGTCGTGTAGTATACAGGGGGTTACGAGAGGCGATTAACACCACGTGACCAGCTACCGATCAGCAGTCGTGAGCTCGCACGGACTTCTGGCGTGTTTGAAATTTTGATTGTCCCTCGTGAGGGTATCGCACTGTTGAAGCGGCGCTGCGAGCGGCTGCGACCCCAAAAGTATCAGAACCGCTCACGGCACATGCGCAATCCTGCATCAACACCGCTCGCCCGCTGTTTCCCTAATAACACACGCTGTTCGTTTTTATTTCTACGTTTTTTTTTTTACTCAGAAAGATTGTCAAGAAAGCGTGTTTGTCGTGTTCATGTCAAATTAAACTGATCACAAAACACAGATTTACTTTCTTTATTTTGTTTTCCTCATCCAACCCCCATAAATCCCTGTTTGTCCTCTTGCAGCACTCCCGAAGGACACCAGGCAAGACAAAAAAGTCTGACGTGTTGAGTAAAAACTGCTATTTTTAGCATATTTTTAGGGCCGACGTGTTGCTACCAGACGTACAGTGTGAGCAGTCAGGTCGCATCCGAGAACTGGGTCGTGCAGTGTGAGCACATGACTCGTGAGATCTGCCCTGCGATGAAGTCGTACAGTTTGAGCTGAAGCTGAGTGCTACGAGTGAAAAAGTCGCACAGTGTCCACCCGGCTTTAGATGTGTTCTTGCTGTGTCGTGGTTCTAATTCCATGCTGTCGTTCTTTTTTAAAACACAGAAACAGTTTCGTTACCTGTTTTCCCGCTACGTTTCGTCTGCGGCTGCAGACTTCCTCTGGCTGACAGCTGAGAACGAAACTGTTTCTGTGTTTTAAAAAAAGAAGAACGACAGCATGGTGTTAGCATTAGCAACTCCACCACACAGCAGAACTCCTTCAGGCTTGTGTTATTTGTGGAGAGTTGCAGAGCAAACTCACTCAGTAGTAGAGTTGCGTTGCTGTTAGCCAATCAGAGGCGAGATGTTCACATATCAGGAAATCCTCCTGTTTTCTGCTCCCCTTTCCTCCGGCGCACCTCTGCTTCCTGAAACAGAAGCGCAAGAGCTTTTTTCCCACAGATCGGCTCACAAGGCGGTAATTTATACTGAAGACCACTGCAAATGTGTTAAAAAACAAGTGCTTTTAATTAAAACAATAATTTTCTGCAATAAGCTCTATGTTTAGCACGTTTTTTTGGTCAAATTTTACATTTTAACATAGATACCTCTGTCCCATCATGTCCTCTGTGTCTTTGTCTGTACAGATGGAGATTCCTGCCTCCAGTCTGATAAATCGCTACATAGCGTGCCAGGGCCCGCTGCCCAACACCTGCCCTGACTTCTGGAGAATGACCTGGGAGCAGAGCTCATCCATGGTGGTCATGCTGACTACGCAGGTTGAGAGAGGGCGGGTGTGTAAAATCAGTGCACTAAATACATTTTTTATCTCGTAAATGATTTTCTGGAAACGAGAGTTACAAATTAGCATTTACAAAAAACACTGTGACACTTTGAAAAGAAGCACTCATCCTAATAATTATTATAAGAATCTGAGAAGCGTTTGAGTGGATTTAAACATCCAATGAAATGTCAGGGTTTGCAAGGCTGTTATAAGTGAAAATATGTAATTATTTCCAGAAATCTGTCACATCACAGTTAGGAATTTTCTGCAACTGAAGTATTACATTTGTGTTAAAAGAAGAAACAAAACATTAAAGCCAAAGTTACCTAACCAAAAAAAAAACTGTGTCAAACAAAAATATCTGCAGCATGACGGTTTCATCTGCACTGAATGTTTAAAAGATGATTCCACATGAACTGACTGAGTCCTGTCTGTGCTCTATAGGTCAAGTGTCACCAGTACTGGCCTAACCCGGACAACAGCGCCACCTACGGAGACTTCACAGTCACGTGCCACAACGAAGAGGGCAACTCGGCCTACCTGGTCCGGGAGATGACCCTCATTTACTCACAGGTAGCCACCGACACGCGCATCGGGTCACTTACCAAACATAAATACATACACCCAAAAAAACAGCTGAGAGGTAAAAGCATCGAGAGTCCGAATGGAGACCGCACGGGAAGAATGAGCCGTCGAGCGCTCCGAAGAGGTGGGTTGCCATAGTGACCGGTGTGGGCTGTTCTTTTTCTGGCTCCTGCTGCTGTGTGCTGGCCACATACTGGGAACTGGTTACCATAACAACCCATCCACCCCAGTCAGTCACACTGCAGAGATGTAGATGGAGGATGAGGGGTTTGAAAAGTATGGATGAAGGATTCAAAACGTGCTGTGTTGCTGCGATGTCTGCGGATCAGCTTCTCCTGCTTTTGTTTGTCACTTCCTGCTGTTTGTTCTGCTGATTGATTCCCTCGTGGAACAACCTTTGAAGTGCATTGCTATAAGAGGAGGCAATTAGCATTCCCCTCTGCCTGTGATTATTGCTATGGAGATATCGGTGTTGCCATGGCAGTGCAGCCAGGCAGCAATAAAGAGGAGCACAAGGGTCTGAGTGGACGTGGCCTGCTGTCTTCTGTAGGTTGTAAAAGCAGCAACAAAGAAAGGATCGTTTTAGGTACATTTTCATGAAACACGACCAGAATCTGACTTTTTATAAGGGTTGTAAAGGAGATTGATATCATTGAAAATGCTTGAATCTTAATGTAACCCGATGGTTTTTATTCGACTTGTCACAAGCAGGCATGTTTTTGTTTTGTCTCTCCAAAATGACGAGCTCTTTCTCCCCTTCAGGTGGTTCAACGCTCAGGCATCTTGCAGTGTTTTCTTTTCTATTAACGTCCGTTTACTACAAGGTATCCGCGGGTCCTTAAAAAGTCTTAAAAAGTCTTAAATTAGCTTTTCCAAATTTAAGGCCTTAAAAATCCTTAAAAATGACAAATAATCCTTAAATACAGTTTCCAAAGGTCTTAAATTACCAAAGACCCAATAAACAAGATTACTTTATTTCTATAAAATTTTCGTGAATTTCTAGTAAGTGTTCAGCATTTTATGTGTGTCGTATTTGCATAAGTGGAACCGTACACATTCAGTTGGATGTGAAAGAGGGTTTTTTTAGATGAGCACATTAGCTGGTTAAGCTAGTGGGAGCTTGCATCATGGGGAAGTGCAAGTTTAATGGTAACTGGATGGCTAATCCCACATTCGCGACGTGGTTGGCACCGGTTTCAGGCAATAGCTGGAAATTATAGATTAAATGACATTAAAAAAAAATTGCTTAAATTTGGTCAAAGTGGCCTTAAAAAAGGTCTTAAAAAGTCTTAAATTTGGCCCCCTTAAACCTGCAGATACCCTGTAGTACACACCAACAGTATACGAATACGCATCATAAAATGCCTACCACATTTTCAGTATGAAATTATATTTTTCCATACAGTTCTATTTCTCCTGGGAAAACCATTTTTGCGTGAACCTACTCTCCACTTGGACCATCTAGCAGAATAAGCAGATGAAGCAGGAGAAGAGGACCTGGACCAATTAAATAGCTTCTTATGTTTCTTTATCCTCCATATGGTCCTCCAGCTTGTTGCTCCTCGAGGTCCCGAAAGTGCATTACAAATCATGTGGAGAAAGAGCTTTTTCTGTTGGTGGTCCTAAACTGCGGAATGAACTCCCAGTCACAGTTCGACAGGCATCCTCCTCAGAGGTTTTTAGGTCTAGATTAAAGACGCACTATTTTACCCTTGCATTTAACAGTTAGCTGCTGGATGGGCTTTATTACTTTACTATACTTAGAGGACATGTTTCCGTTGGTTTTATTGGTAACTCTTTATTGTTATTTTTGGTTTGTTTTATTGTATTTTTGGTTGTATTTTATTGTTTCACGTGTTATATTTTTATTATTGTGTGACTGTTCAGCACTTTGGTCGGCCGTATGGCTGTGTTTTTTAAAGCGCTATACAAATAAAGATGATGATGATGATGATGATATGAAATACAGCAGAATCATTGATTATCCTCTCGATGGTCTGAAGTCTACACAACCACACATTCTCCAGTAATGGTTTGCTGTAGAAGAACCAAAGTTGTGTTTTAACATCACAAATGAATTTGTGTTCTTTATAAAACATGAACATTTATTTTTATGGATAAAATAATTGTTTTGATAATGTATGGTGTTAATATATGAGTGAATCACCAGTGGAACGCACTCAATAAGAAACTAATCTAGAAGTCCAAACTATCGACCCTTTGCACCGACGCCACCTAATCACGTGGGTCCACCATGCTAGACGGCAAAAGCATGTAAACAGTGAGCGACACGAGTACTAAACAAAGGGAAAAGTAGAGCCTGAAATTGTTTTCGCGATCAAAAACAAAAAAAAAACTCCTCCAGCATTCCTTCCACTAGTTCATGCTCAGTTCAGGTATCAGAAGAAGGAGCGCATCTAGCGGGGCTCATAGAGAGCGGCATGCTAACTAGCGTACCAACGTTAGCTTACGTTCTCTCTGCAGCTGTTCACCGATGTAAACATGTTGCTGGCTTTGCCTAAATTCACCCCTCTAGATTTATAACATTATGTTATAAACAGCGTTTCACTTTACACCAAAGCTGATTGTTAAAAAGTCCGGATCTCTACCAGCTTCTGTTGCTGGTGGTGTCACCGGGTTCAGCTGCTGCTCTCACACCGGAATGAGAAGATCTCTGAACGCCGACGCTCATATAAATAAATAACGCAATTTTAACACACGTAATCGTACATCAGAGCTTTAATATTGTTCACAATTGTCTCGCTTTACACTACAGTGGACTGAGAGCAGCCTCCGTGGTGAAATACCCATCCATCAGGATTATCAATAACTAGTATAAACACATCACATTTATCCATATCCCCGTCTTCCTCGTAAAATAAATTAAAGTTAATCTTACCTGGTAAAAACATGATCGCTGCTAATCTGAGGCCTGCTAGTCCGCTTGATTGATTGATCGCTGCAGTTCATCTCCGTCCTCAGTCTCCATCAAAGTTATTAAAAAGAGAAAACGAGTTGAGTTTATGTCTTTGTCTCTTAGTGCAGCCAACCACGCTGCAAGCTAAAACCATTTCACTGTCAAATCACCTAAATAAAAGAGATAAAAGGCTACAAACTGGCTTGTTTTGACTAGCTTCACTGGAGTTTCTACGGGTGTAAACGGTCTTTTTGCCATCCATCATGGCGAAGGGGGCGGTCACATGAGTGGCGTGACGTCACGTGCAAAGGGTCAATAGTAGCTCAACAGAAATGTTAAAGCTGGTGCTGGTGGCTTATTATGGTTACCATGACAACATTCCACCCAAGTCTCTCCCTCCTTGATCGCAACTTCACTGATTTAAAGATAAATTAAGCAGTTTTGTCTTGCCTTTAGCACCCCTAGAGTATGTTTTAACACACTGTAGCAACACTGAAATAGAAACGAATCTGCCCGCTGTGCGTTTGTCTTTTTAACACCTTAACCTAACAGCTGAAATGTCTCTAAATCAAATAAATCAGCTGAGTTAATTATCTAAAACATGCAGGAAAGGTGCTGGAATCAGACTCCAGCGCCAGGCATGTCAGCTCCACTTTACTAAGACTAACGGGGATCAGCCCGCTGCTCTGAAGTTGCAAGTGCGGTATTCTGGCCACAGGGGGCGATGGGGGTCTGAGTGACGTTTCATTAACCCTGTAAAGGATCATTTTAGCACATGCTGCTCAAGAAAACGATTTAAAAATATGAAAAAGCTGCTTAGAATGCCTTTAAACAGATTTTTAGTAAAGGGGATTAACTGTCTTGTGGTCATTTTGTTCTATGTTTATCAGAGCGACCAGCAGAGAGAGCTTACGCAGCTTCAGTACCTGGCATGGCCAGACCACGGTGTTCCCGATGACTCCACTGACTTCTTGGACTTTGTGGCTCTGGTGCGGAGCAAACGGGCCGGACAGGACCAGCCGATGGTCGTGCACTGCAGGTACTCAAACATAAGCGTTTGAATTCAGAGCTGTTTTAGGTTTTTTGTTTCCCTCACCCACTTTCTTTCCATGCTTGTTGTTTTACCTAGTGCTGGGATTGGCCGGACAGGGGTCCTAATCACCATGGAGACGGCCTTGTGTCTAATGGAGTGCGGTCAGCCTGTGTATCCTCTAGATATAGTCCGGACCATGAGAGATCAGAGAGCCATGATGATCCAAACACCTGTAAGTAGACTCCTCTGGATCAGCGCTGCGTCAGATCAACACCTACAATGTTCTTTTTCGGGGCGACGGTGGCACAGGAGTTAAGTGCTCGCCCCGTAATCGGAAGGTTGCAGGTTCGAGCCCCGCTCCGTCTGTCGCTGTCGTTGTGTCATTGGGCAAGACACTTAACCCACGTTGCCTGCTGGTGGTGGTCGGAGGGACCGGTGACGCCCGTGCTCGGCAGCCTCGCCTCTGTCAGCGCGCCCCAGGCCAGCTGTGGCTACATCGTAGCTCATCCCCACCAGTGTGTGAATGTGTGTGTGAATGGATGAATGACTGATTGTGTTGTAAAGCGCCTTGGGGGGCTCCAGGGCTCTAGAAGGCGCTATATCAAATACAGGCCATTTACCATTTTTCTGTTCTTGTGACCCCACCAGAGCCAGTATCGCTTTGTGTGCGAGGCGATCCTGAGAGTGTACGAGGAAGGCTTATTCAAACCGCACAACACCGCTGTCTACCAGCAGAGAGAGAAGCGGGGTGATGAGAAGGACGAGGAGGAGCAGCAGACAGCAGGAGAAGATGGAGAAGAGACGGCAGCGGCGGAGGAAGAGGAAGCATCGTCCGTGGTGGACATGCTGGAGGAAGGACTGGATGAAGAGGATGATGACGATGAGGAAGTGGAGGTGTTGGATGTGGGAGAAGTAACAGAGGAAGAGGAGGAGGAGGAGCCTAGCATTGCGAGTGCCACCAGCATGACGAGTGAGACCAGCGCGAACCCTGAACCCGACCCAGATCTTGATCCTAAACCTGAACCGCCTCCTGCCGACGTCTGACCTCACATCTGTCGTCAGGGGTAACCAGGAAGAGAAAACAAAAGCACTGTTGCACTTTACACTGACACAAAAACGATAAAAGGACGAACATGAAAACGCTGAACAGGATCAAGTCAAAACACGAGAGCTCCAGCTGTTGAATAGGTACTATTATGGGGTGTTGTACGATCAGGGTAAGGAGTAAAAAAACAAAGTAAGAAGTACAAGAGAATTAAAATGTGGATGGGGAATCGCTGCAGTGCCATAAATATGAAGGGGAGGAGCTGCTTCCTCGCCCCTCTTTTTTTTTTTTTTTTTTTTTTTTACCCAACGGGTCGCCCTGTCCCCTTCTGAGCGAGTCTGCCACACGGACCTGCCTTTTTAGTGTCCTTTTAGCTGATAAAGTAAAAGATCTTATGTTTTGTTCCTCAGAAAGAGTATTTATTGTGTTTTAGTTTGTGTCCGACCCTGTCCACTGAACAAAAAAGATGAAAAGCTGTATGTTTTGTTTGTTTGTACGAGTCTTGAGCTTCATGCTTTCCTGATTAAATCTTAGGTAGTCAAACAGTGTTACTTCTCTTCTACTTTTTCTTTTAATTTTGTTTTATGTGGGGGAAAAACAACATTGATCCTATCTGGTTTGACCTTTCTCCTTTTCCCGTCTACGTTTCCGACAGAGCGCACCGACTGGCGGACAGCTGCAAGCACCTTCTCACCTCTTGTTCAGTGCTGTGAACAGCTGGCTGCTTTCTCCGTCTTTGTCCTCACAATCACGCAAACATCCATCCTGGTGCGGCGATCGACATGTGCAGTCCTTAAGGCTGTCGTTCCACTTTTGCAAACGATTCAGTTATTAAGCGCAGTTTATCACGACGGAACTGAGAAACACACAGCTTGGCTCTAATCTAAAGGCTGAGATCAGCTTGGTTGTATTCCCAGACACTCCCTGCTGGGGTGTCTTTGAGCCAGATAACCGCAAAACTCGGCCTCGTGTGAGAAATCCTCTTCTAATTAGTGTGATTCTACGTTGATCTGTTTTATATTTTGCAATCCAAATCATCATCTTTGCATGAGTCACTGTGGCGGCATTTTGAGGGTAGATGATCAGAAGTTTGTTTCTTTCCATGAATTAATCAAAACTGATCTTAAACTTTAAAGCTTCATCCGTTGATCCAGGTTATGCGTAAAAATTCCCACTAAGTTGGATTTATTTGCCAGGAAACTAGTTTGTGTTTCCTCAGCATCGTATCCGCTTCGCCGCGTTGGTACCCGTCGGTTCTGCTGGAAATCCCTCCTGCTGTGTGTGCGTGAGCGGATGTGAACTCTACCTCCAGTTTTCCTTTTCTCAGCAACACGTGTTTAATTTTAGTTGTTTGATTTAAAACCTGCTTGTCTGTAAACTGGAATGAAAGCTCGTGCCACAAAAAGGTCCTTTTCTTGCCACTCTGCACAGAAGTGCTACTTTGCTTTCCTTTTATTTACCTTCTTAATCTTTTTGTCCTATTGTGTCACGCTTCTTAAATAAGCCCAACATCCTTCAGTCATCTCTCCACAGCCCACACGTCCATTCCCTTCATTATCTTTCCCACTAATGCCTCTGTTTTGGATCCGTGCACATGGATCCCACTCTCGGTGCATGGCCCGCAGGCAAATGACACATCCAAGCGGGAGTGTCATGGGTACAAAAGCACAGCTTGTTTTTAAACTGAGCCTAATTAGTCAGCAACTAACGGGTTTTTAATTAGTTTGGGCTGGCAAATTCAAATAAAGGCGACGTGCAGATTTAACGTGTGATAATCGAAGGTACACAAATCAAATGAGCAAATGCAGAAAGTAAATCTTAATTTAAAAAATTGCCCCTGCAATGAAAGTGAGTCTCCATCTGCACTCTGCATGCTAAAACGTTTTGCTGTTGATGCAGAATTGGTACGGTTTAGGGTATTGATCGACAGTAGAAGGGGCTCCGATGTGGATTTGCTGTATTTTTAATGTGTATAAGTATCGTTTTAAATTTGGTAGGGAAAGGACAGCACTTTGTCAACGACCGAGCAGCAGGTGGTTCTACTGAAGATGACAACACAAGTAAATTTAGGGACATAGAGCATTGTTTTATTTTTAACTTATCATTTGTGTTTTTGGGGGGAAACGATACATCTGTAAAGAACAAAGAAAACAACTCCTAATTACACAGTGCCACTTGTTCATTTTGTGTAAATAATACTAGACCTTGTAAATATAATGTTGTATATGAAAAAAAATCTTTAAAATAAAAGGGAAAATCATTTGTGAGCAGAAAGACGTTTTTATTTTTGTTTGTTTTTTCCCTTTGAACGATTCAAATGTGACACAAATGCGGTGTGAATCAGAACTGCTCTTTTAAAAAGTTTTGTTTTATTTGGATCTATAACAGCTAGTGTGTATATAATGAACCGCAGATGATGGGAAGTGTTTTATCGTATTACATCCTTGGTTTACTCTTACTTGTGTCATAAAAAAAGAAAACTTTGTCCTCGGTTGCTCATCTCTTTCTGGAATCGTTGGTTTTTCAGTGCTTTGGACACGTCCATAAGCTTGATTCTGAACGATTAAAGCTTGCCTGTCAAAGCATGGAGAAGTGGCTACAGCTCACCTTGCTTTTCCACACTGTAAAAGTGAGGTTAGGCAACATTAGAGACCTCAGAATCTACCATAGAATATATGAACGAGTTATGTTGCTTTATTTTTAGTCACTTACCACAAAATTATAAAATGAGGCAGATTATGGGTACAGGATTATCTAAATGATGCTACTTTACGTCTGCTGGTACTACGATACGTCTTCTACTGGTGCCACAAGTGCTGTCAGACATGCGTCAACGCTGTGACCGTCTTGTGTCGGGTTTCTGTCTCCAGAGGGTCCGGTCCGGTCCAGTTGGGACAGAAAGAACGTTTAGCTGCTTCTGCAGGTTCTAATGAAATACTTTTAAACACTAAAGACTAGAAATGTCAGTCCTACCTGTAAATACGAGCTCAATGAAGCACGTGAAGGTAAACACGTGAACTTTGTGCACACGCCGCAAAAACAGTAGAAGGCGAACGGTATTTAGCGTAGCACGCGGCAGGTCACCATGGCAACAAGGGCTTGCTTCTACGTTACGTAAAAGGAGTGGAAAATCGTTTCTGGCGCTGAATCCAGGAAGTAGAGAAAACAAGACTGACCAAACAGATCAACTTTAATTAGAAAATATCAGGAACATGAAATCAGGCAGATGACGCCAGTTGTCTTAACCACGGTGTTACAGGTCAATGTAAACGTCTGTTGGACTAATATTTCCCTCTTGTGGCCGTTTGGTGGTACTGCACCTAAAATATTGACATTATTCAAATGGTTCTAACAGAAAACGAAACAACTGTAATAAAACCAGTTTTGATCAAATTAAAAATACACCCATATTCGAGGCGCTGGAATTTAGTTACACGGAGTGTCTGAGAGGGTGGAAGAAAAAGATGTGCGGAAAGAGGTGACCCGTATCTGCCAGGAGCTGCTGCCATCAGATGCTGAACGACTCCCAGACGTCATCGACACAGTCCACCGGGTCGGGGTGAAGAAACCGAGCGCCACCAGAGGCATCATCATACAGTTTTCCTCACGGGTGCAAAGAGCTGCGGTGTGGGCTGCAGCGAAAAACTCATCCTACCTTCGAGGGAACGGTCTACGCTTCGCGGAAGATCTCTGCAAAGCTGATAGGGAAGCAAGGCTGAAACTCTGGCCGCTACTGAGTGAGGCACGCAAGGCGGGGAAAATCGCATACTTTGTAGGAGGCCGTGCTTTTATTGAGAAAAAGGAGATTTTTCCTCCAGCCTGAGTTGAGGAGCTTGGCTACCACAACTCTCCACACTTGCTCCATGTTCCCCCAGACAATTTGCCTTAAGGTCTGCAAGTGACTGTTGGCTCATATGCCGTGCATTTATGTTGCATTTACATGCTCTTATACCTTATTTTGATGCTGTTCTCGTATCAATCCTTCATATAGGGTAAGAACTGTGCGATCGGCAAGTTAAAGTTCATCTTAATAAAACAGATTTGTCGTTATCCATAGTTTCTCTCAACGCCAGGGGTCTAAGCATGAACGTAATTTTGGGGGGGACAGGGGGGACATGTCCCCCCCACTTTTTCCAAAGTCAGGTTTTGACCCCTGCACTTTTTACCATTCAAAAACAATATTACGCTATATTAAATTGACACTGCTTGAGCTCTAGGACCAAGCAGAAAACAACCATTTGTGTTGAAGCCTGTTTCCCATTAGAACATACCCCCCCCCCCCCCCCCCCGTGTCCCCCCCACTTCTAAAGTGAAAATTACGTCCTTGGGTCTAAGGGATAACTTGAAACGAAAAGCTTTATTTTTGTTTGGGAAACAATGCAAAACTGATTTTTGTTTTTCTCAGGAAACTCATACAGGTGATGATGATGTCTGCTTTTGGAAATCTCAGTGGGGGAATGAGACCTTTTTCTCACATGCTACACAAAGGTCTGCTGGAGTTTGTACTCTTAAAAACACTTTTACTGGTAAAATAATACATACTGACTGTGATGATAATGGTCACTATATATGTCAGATTCTGGAAATATATACTTACAACTTCATTCTAATTAACATTTATGGATATAACTCGACAAGTGATAATAACAATTTGCTTACAATCGTAGAAAAGACTATTTGTTATTGGTTGGCTAAATTCCCTCATGCTTATCTAGTAATAGGAGGTGATTTTAATGTCACTTTGGACAACACCATGGATAGGTGGCCGCAGGTCCTCTGTCTAACGCTAATATATACCCAAAATCAATAATGCAAATATTTGATCTAATAGATATTTGGAGGAAAAAATACCCACATGACAGAATTTTTACCTGGGGTAATAAAACAAGATCCAGACAATCAAGAATAGATTTTTGGTTAGTTTCAAATAATCTCGAGGAATATGTCAAGGTTGACATCCTCTCGACCCCTTTGACTGACCACAAGGCCATCCAAATTAGCATTTCTTTACTTCCTTCTTCCACAACACGCCATAATGCATACTGGAAACTCAACAGCTCCATCTTGTGTCATGACATAGTAAAAACCAAGGTTAAGGAACTAATACACGCATTTTGGAATGAGGCCCAGGCTGAAAAGGTATATGGGAGTAAATGGGAACTTCTAAAGTTTGAAGCTGGAATTTTTTTTTTAGAAAATACTGTAGTGAGCTAGCAAAATGCAAACGTTATGAAGAAGAAAAGGTGATTTCTAAAATAACACAGATGTCATCTATTTGTCCAGATAAGTTATCCCCCGAAGAACAAGAAACTCTATTGGAATTTCAAAATAAACTGGATTTTTGTTTTATCTATTTTATTTTTGCTTTTATGTCCTTAATTTCATCTATAGTGCCTTAAGATTTATTGTGAGGCACAGTCAGCTTTTTAAATCCTGTACAAATAAATTTTAACACACGTGTCTCACTCCATGGTGCATGAGCAGGCGCTGTCTGCAGTGAAAATGCAGACAGCGCCTCACTGACCAGTGCGAGCCAGGGAGAGGAAATGACAGAGATGAAGATGTTAGGTGCATGGGTGTAATTTTAATTAGATCAAAACTGGTTTTATTACAGATGTTTCGTTTTCTTTCAGAACCATTAGACTAATGTCAATAGTGCAGTACCACCAAAAAGCCACAAGAGGGCAACATTGGTCCAACAGACGGTTTACATTGACCTGTAACACCGTGGTTAAGACAACTGACTCCATCTGCCTGATTTCATGTTCCTGATATTTTCTAATTAAAGTTGATCTGTTTGGTCAGTCTTGTTTTCTCTACTTCCTGGATTCAGCGCCAGAAACGATTTTCCACTCCTTTTACGTAACGTAGAAGCAAGCCCTTGTTGCCATGGTGACCTGCCGCGTGCTACGCTAAATACCGTTCGCCCTCTACTGTTTTTTGCTGCATGTGCACAAAGTTCACGTGTTTACCTTCACGTGCTTCATTGAGCTCGTATTTACAGGTAGGACTGACATTTCTAGTCTTTAGTGTTTAAAAGTGTTTCATTAGAACCTGCAGAAGCAGCTAAACGTTCTTTCTGTCCCAACTGGACCGGGCCGGACCCTCTGGAGACAGAAACCCGACACAAGACGGCCACAGCGTTGACGCAGCATGTCTGACAGCACTTGTAGCACCAGTAGAAGACGTATCGTAGTACCAGCAAACGCAAAGTAGCGCGCGCGCACCAGTACATTTGTAATCGTCTGCACGCACGGAAGCGCAGGTGGCGCGATGACGTCACAAAGCCTTTATGACTAACGCGTCTGCAGCATGGACATATACATGTAGGTCTGCAGTCAGTGGTCAGTCAGTATCAGACTTGCTTTGAAGAAGGTGGTTGGACGGATTGTTGCTCTCAGAAAACTTGTTGGTTTTGTGTAAACAACGTCTTTTAACAGCTTCCTTCAGAGAAATCTGGTGCATTTGGTGAATATTTATAGCTAAATTATTCACTGCTCGAAAATCACGGAGTGCAAAATGGTCTTTGTTCTCTCAAACAGCCAACCAGCTTTCCAGTCAGGGCTAAGGTCCTCTGAGCTACAGTCGTTTCACAAACGACGCAGATATGAACTTCTGGCTAGCTACAGAGGAACTAGCTTTGCAGAAACACAAAAACTGTGTCTGTCTGCATCAAAACCTGACAAGTCTCGTCAGATTCAGCCCTTTGAGGAACCAAGTGTCTTTTTCAAGACAGCCGCGCTTGTGGACACCAGTGGAGGTTTAACATCCATCTCCAGCAAAAACTCCTCTGTTTTACGGGCTAATCGACAAGACCAAAGATATAAAACGCTGGCAAGGTACCGAGGAATTTCCTTAGTGGAGAAAAGACAGATGTCCTCTGTCCAACTCCAGGATACTCCTCGCATTCAGCTGTTGGGGAAAAGAAAGCGTTCGAGTGACGGAGGTCACGAGAACTCTGATTTCCCCAGCGCTGCTAAAGGGCCGAGGCTGTCAGAAGGCACACCTCAGCAGAAACGTCCCACTATGATCCGCCTCAAAGGTCGTAGGAAAGAGACAGATCCAGGACCCAAAAGTGTCTCCGAACCCCCAAAAACTGCATCTACCATCAAGTCTGAGCAGCCTCGAACTCCAGTAATCTGGATTATTGGATCCAGTTACATCAGACGGGGTGAAGAGGAGGCTCAGCGGCAGTTTGGGACAAACTTTGGACTCAGAGCTAAGGTCCAATGGTTTGGCAAAGGAGGCATGCGCTGGGATGGTGTCCTTCCCAG